TTTTTTTTTTTTTTTTTTTAATAGGAAAAGTTTTGATTTTTTTCTTTGTTTGCCTTTAAATTTTTTTTTTCTGTGGTAAATAAGATGTGTATGTCACACTGCTCATCATTAACAGAATGCTCATCTGTTGTTTCTTTTGTACAAAGTCTTGAAATTCCCACTGTATCAGCTTTGCTTCTAAGATTGAGACAAGCATATCATATATTTTTTATTTTGTAACTGTTGTGTGGAAGACAAAGATTAATGATGAGTAAATGACATGTAATGTATTTCAGCATGGAGAAAGCATGCTAAACCTCAAAGGAAGGATAGGGGGCGACTCTGACCTGTCACCCAATGGGAAAGCAGTAAGTATCTACAAAAGAAACCAGGTGGAGAAAAGCACTGTATAAATAACAGCTAATTTCATGCTTTGAATTATGGATCTATTTGGATTCCATTCAGACTTATTCATCGTATCTGCAAAGTATGCAAATAAACAGTAAACAAGCAAACATATGTACAGGTAGGTGATATTAGTACTTATTACCTGGAAATAGACATACATACGAACAAACAGTGCGCAAGACAATAACGTAGTCTTCATGTTAAGTGTAGTTGTTAACAAATCATGAACTTTGGCATAAACACATTGCCTTTAGTAATCTGGTAAGGCATTTCTTTCAGTAAAAACTAATAATTTAATAATAAAAATCAATAACTTGTATAATATCAGAAGTAAATTATTATATTTCAGTAGGATGGCACTGCAATGCAATCATCCATACATTACATAATACTGGATGAGATATTAAGTTGCTGGCAGAAATTTGAACACAAAAATAATATATTTCAGTATGCCAAGGCCCTTGCTGAGTTTGTGGACAAAGAGGACATTCCAGGATTAAAGGTGTGGTCCAGTGAAATGAAGAGGACTGTCCAGACGGCCAATCCTGTTAATGCTCCTAAAGAAAAATGGAAGGCTCTGAATGAAATAAATGCTGTAAGTATACATTAAAAATGTTTTGTTTAGATTAAGTTATTAATGATATTAGTAATAATATTTCTTTTGTAGATGAATTATCAAAGCATAAAGATAAATAAGTGCAGTAAACAGATGATAAATATATTTTCATTGAATAAGTTATGTTTGGCAGTCTTTTGACAATGCATTATAAGTAACCTTTGCAACAAATGAGATTTGTAGAAAATTAACTATCAATTAGATTTTGATTTAAAAAGATAATGAAAAAGAGTCCTATTGTAAAGAAAACTGTCTTTTTCTGAAGGTATCCTGTTAAGTGTTGAAAGTTTGAAAAAGATTGTTGTTGATTGAAACTGCACCTTTGTTTTCTAGGGTATATGTGAGGAAATGACATATGAGGAAATAGCAGAGAGATACCCAGTGGACTTTGCCCTCAGGGATCAGGACAAGTATCACTACAGATACCCCAAAGGCGAGGTTAGTTGGTCACTTAAACATCTGCAGTGGTCACTCTGGTCATTCCACAGCATTAGTTGCCGTTGACCACTCTAGAGCATCTTTAGGAGCCACTCTAGAGCATCAGAATTGGTCACTCTGTAGCATTATGAGTGGTCACTCTAGCATTTGATTCAGTAGTGGTCTCTCTTAAGCATCAGTGTTTGTCAATCTATACATAACCTGAAACTTATATACCTTTTACATAAGAAAGGTAGCTCCAAATTTTAAGTGCCTGCAGTTACCATCCACTGCAAGAAAATTTAAGTTACCAGGAAATATGTTATTACTTTAACCTTATGAAAAGCACAGATAATTTTATTCAATATGACAGTTTTTAATCACTTTGTTTTTATATTACAGTCATACCAAGATTTAGTGGCAAGGTTAGAACCTGTAATTATGGTAAGTTTTTATGTTATTTTCTTAAGCTTTCAAATTCTAGTCTAAATGAAGATTTAAAGAACTGATTAACATCACTTCAATTATATTGAGCTTACAATAGCAGAAAAAATGATTGTAATCAAGCCATGTGGTATGAAAAAAATGACCATATGTTTTGTCTTCAAATAAAGCATGGAAATTATTTAGTTTGAATCATGGAAGTAATGTTTTATTCAGTTGTTTGTATTGCACTGCACTATATTATATTATATTATATTATTATATAATTCAGGAGCTGGAACGTCAGACCAATGTCATGGTTGTATGTCATCAGGCCGTGGCAAGATGTCTGCTGGCGTATTTCCTGGATAAAAATGCTGGTATTTCAAATATGCATACACTAGATACTTACTAGTCATACAGTGCTTTATATGTTTCTGTCATTATATATTCAGTTTTATAGTGGTGAAATACATTCAGTTTGCTAAGATTTTCATAATGAAATAGGGTATAAGATGATGAATGATATGATACCTGATTAATATACAATTCATTATGGTTTACCTATACAGACTAACTTCTGATGAAATAAAACTGTAGTGTTATCCTTATGTGTAATAACAAGGCGNTTAAAATGTGTTTTATATACGGTCTTCTGACGGAAAACAGCCAATTAGTTAACTGGCCAGTGTTTAACTGGATTAAATAATTATTTAAAGGTCAGTTTGCTAACAGACTATTTAGGTCTGGTTAGAGTTAAACACTGGTTAGTGCTAAACGTCCTTTATAAAACTGGGCCCTGGTGGAGAAAAGCACTGTATAAATAACAGCTAATTTCATGCTTTGAATTATGGATCTGTTTGGATTCCATTCAGACTTATTCATCGTATCTGCAAAGTATGCAAATAAACAGTAAACAAGCAAACATATGTACAGGTAGGTGATATTAGTACTTATTACCTGGAAATAGACATACATACGAACAAACAGTGCGCAAGACAATAACGTAGTCTTCATGTTAAGTGTAGTTGTTAACAAATCATGAACTTTGGCATAAACACATTGCCTTTAGTAATCTGGTAAGGCATTTCTTTCAGTAAAAACTAATAATTTAATAATAAAAATCAATAACTTGTATAATATCAGAAGTTAATTATTATATTTCAGTAGGATGGCACTGCAATGCAATCATCCATACATTACATAATACTGGATGAGATATTAAGTTGCTGGCAGAAATTTGAACACAAAAATAATATATTTCAGTATGCCAAGGCCCTTGCTGAGTTTGTGGACAAAGAGGACATTCCAGGATTAAAGGTGTGGTCCAGTGAAATGAAGAGGACTGTCCAGACGGCCAATCCTGTTAATGCTCCTAAAGAAAAATGGAAGGCTCTGAATGAAATAAATGCTGTAAGTATACATTAAAAATGTTTTGTTTAGATTAAGTTATTAATGATATCAGTAATAATATTTCTTTTGTAGATGAATTGTCAAAGCATAAAGATAAATAAGTGCAGTAAACAGATGATAAATATATTTTCATTGAATAAGTTATGTTTGGCAGTCTTTTGACAATGCATTATAAGTAACCTTTGCAACAAATGAGATTTGTAGAAAATTAACTATCAATTAGATTTTGATTTAAAAAGATAAATAATGAAAAAGAGTCCTATTGTAAAGAAAACTGTCTTTTTCTGAAGGTATCCTGTTAAGTGTTGAAAGTTTGAAAAAGATTGTTGTTGATTGAAACTGCACCTTTGTTTTCTAGGGTATATGTGAGGAAATGACATATGAGGAAATAGCAGAGAGATACCCAGTGGACTTTGCCCTCAGGGATCAGGACAAGTATCACTACAGATACCCCAAAGGCGAGGTTAGTTGGTCACTTAAACATCTGCAGTGGCCACTCTGGTTATTCCACAGCATTAGTTGCTGTTGACCACTCTAGAGCATCTTTAGTAGTCACTCTAGAGCATCAGAATTGGTCACTCTGTAGCATTATGAGTGGTCACTCTAGCATTTGATTCAGTAGTGGTCTCTCTTAAGCATCAGTGTTTGTCACTCTATACATAGCCTGAAACTTATATACCTTTTACATAAGAAAGGTAGCTCCAAATTTTAAGTGCCTTCAGTTACCATCCACTGGAAGAAAATTTAAGTTACCAGGAAATATGTTATTACTTTAACCTTATGAAAAGCACAAATAATTTTATTCAATATGACAGTTTTTAATCACTTTGTTTTTATATTACAGTCATACCAAGATTTAGTGGCAAGGTTAGAACCTGTAATTATGGTAAGTTTTTATGTTATTTTCTTAAGCTTTCAAATTCTAGTCTAAATGAAGATTTAAAGAACTGATTAACATCACTTCAATTATATTGAGCTTACAATAGCAGGAAAAATGATTGTAATCAAGCCATGTGGTATGAAAAAAATGACCATATGTTTTGTCTTCAAATAAAGCATGGAAATTATTTAGTTTGAATCATGGAAGTAATGTTTTATTCAGTTGTTTGCATTGCACTGCACTATATTATATTATATTATTATATAATTCAGGAGCTGGAACGTCAGACCAATGTCATGGTTGTATGTCATCAGGCCGTGGCAAGATGTCTGCTGGCGTATTTCCTGGATAAAAATGCTGGTATTTCAAATATGCATACACTATATACTTACTAGTCATACAGTACTTTATATGTTTCTGTCATTATATATTCAGTTTTATAGTGGTGAAATACATTCAGTTAGTTAAGATTTTCATAATGAAATAGGGTATAAGATGATGAATGATATGATACCTGATTTATATACAATTCATTATGGTTTACCTATACAGACTAACTTCTGATGAAATAAAACTGTAGTGTTATCCTTATGTGTAATAACAAAGTGGTAATTTTTCTTTTGGTAAAAGGGAAGGTACAGGTTGATGAAAATGCTCTGATCAACATTGAAATATTGGATTTAAACAACAGTTTCAATACTAGCTGTTGGTTGAAGAAAAATAGGTTCTTTTTTCCTAGTGTACAACACAACTGATGAAATCCTTTTCTGATCCGGATTTTATATTTTCTGCTTTGTTATTTGCAGAGGAGTTGCCTTATCTGCGTGTTCCTCTCCACACAGTAATGAAGCTCACGCCTGTAGCATATGGCTGTCTCATGGAAGAAATATCGCTCAATGTGGAAGCTGTCGATACGCACAGGGATAAACCCAAGGTGGGTCGAACGAGTTGTCACATTCCTCAAAATGCCCCTTCTAGGACATTTTTTTTTGAAACTGACATAAAAAATTTAAATGGCTCTCTTTGTCACTACACTATGACCCCATTCCCATACCTAGATTGATCTAGCAGGATCGATCCATCTCTCAGAGGTTTCTCACTAAATTATATTCATTTCAAGCGGCTCTGATGTCTGACATGCCTACTGAAGCTGTTAGGGGATAATTCATTGTTCTTAAGCAGCTTCAGTAGGCATGCCAGACGTCTAAGCCGCTTAAGCTGAATGCAATTTAGCGAGAATCCCCTCGAAGATAGATTGATCCTGTTAGTACAACAGGTGTATATCCAGCAGAAATGTCTGTCTCAGTTAGCACACTGCTCTGCTGCATACTGTCACATCTAACACAATGTCACAACAGGCTCTAGCTTTTACACTGCTCATTATACAAACCACAGCGAACCTTCAAACAAACTGCACCTAATACAAACAAAAAGACTCCTTAAAAGCCAATGAGTGCAATTCACAGATTCTGAAAAAATGCATTCACAATTTGTCTTATCTAACCCATTGGACCAATGTTTCAACCGGAAAAATAAGACATTCTGAAATGCCAACCATTTTAATTAGCATGACTGAATGAAAGTTGATGGCTTGATAACTTCCAAAAGCTTCAATATGATCATATGTTTTCTTTTATTTATTTAGAAAAATAAAGTTATATATAACTATAAACTTTTATAAACTACTATTCTGCTTCACAGATGCTGGAAGTGAGAGCGTCAAATGGTTATAAAGTCTACAGATAAATACTTTCCAATTTTATCCAGAAATCATGATATTTAGGCATTGTATTAATGCCCCTCCCCTCCCCCCCCCCCCTTCCCATATGAAGCTGTGCACCTTTGGCCCTCTCATTCTCCAAATTTTATTTTAAAAGTCTTCTTTCATCTCTGCAAATCTCTGACTGGTTAACCAGTTTGTTGATCTGATCATACTGACTAGTGGTCTTTATTCTGGTCATAGTAGTCTTTAATTTAGGAGACCTTTTGGGTAAAGGAAAGATATCATTTTGAGTGTTTGTAATAGAGGCTCATCGCATGACATAAAATACCTAGAGATGTATTAAAAAGAAACAGGAAATGATAGGGAAATAGCTGACATAGGGGTTATGGGATATTGCATGGATAGATACTGGCTTGCTTTGAGAGATGCACTTGGATTTATATATACATATATGCATTTGTGGAGCTTATGCACATGAAATTATTCTTGATTCATTATTTTGCAACCTTTCAGTGATTTCTATTGTTTAAAACATCAAGTGTGATATACATTGACGATTTCATAGTTTTTTTTGTGGTTATAAGCGAACTTAACCTTTTTCAAACATTTGAAGTAAAATGCTTTTAAATAAGCTATCATTGAATATGGTACAGAATTTTGGAGAATCAGATACAAGTTATCTTGTTGATCACACTTCTGCTTTTTAGTGCAATGATTCCAGCAGCAATAAATATGACACATACATCTTTTGCTTGAAGCTGTCTGCTTATGTTTATATCTATATCAAATATGTATGCAAGCTTTTAAGTAGTACAGCAGCGATTGTGTTCATATAGCATGGCAGATGTATCACTTTTAGTTAATTTCTTTCTCTTTCCACTCAGTTGTGAAAGCTTAAAAATGGCCATAGATTGTCTGTTTGTTGTCCATGTTTCATAACACTGATAACTTGAGAAAAGGCTGAGCAAGGAATATTGGATTTATGGCCTAGAAGCTTCCCATGGAGCTCTTGGATGAAATAAAAGGGTCACTTGGCCTACTTTTCAAGGTCACAGCTTTGTTTTCAGTGCTTTTGTTGCCTTGAGCACTTGTTGTTTGATAATAGAATATAAACACAGTTATGATCTGTATGTGCTGTCATTCAAGATGTATGACTTGTTACCCATATGCAAGATAAATATCTAATTGTTATAAAGATGGCTTTTCAGTGGGAAGTGATTTTAATACGAGCAGTGTAAATATTAAGCTATATTAGCTAATGAGCTTCACAGTTAATTGCTTCTCTTAGACTTATGTTGAGAAGAATCACTGTTATCAAATGCGGCGGTCAAAAATGCAACACAGTTGTGGTGATTGTCAGGTAGTTGAATGTTATCCCACATTTTTTGAGTGTGGTTATCCAATTTCAAAACAAACCAACTTCAAAACTTCAGCTGTGAAAAATGATAGAGCTTTAAACAGCTGTCGAGCTCATAATGTGGCTCCCTCTGATGGAGTATCTAAGAATCCGTTTGGTAATACAATTGCCCTGTTTCTGATCAAAGATGGTTAGCAGTGCCCCTGTTTAGATTCATATTATATATTGAAGTAAAAATGCGTATGCCTTTGTTTCAAAATGTAAGTCACTGCCTGACTGAAAAAGGTAGAAAAACATGCAATTTGCTTCAAAGCCTGTAGATGTGCTTAAGGTGCTTATGCATGTGTGCTTATGCATGTGTAGTCTGGAATTGCTTACATTTTGTCAAACTGAAGAAAGAACTGAATGATAAATACTCAGAAAATGATTTGTATACTATGGTTTACTACATACTGTCTATTTCTGTGGTCACTCAATGGGTCTGTAAAATGAAATGTATGTGTGAAACCAACTGCCTTGTTGAATTACGTGCAGAATGGTAATGAACAAACAATTGTAAAACAGAGTTTCTTTACACAGTGAAAGAGGATATTGTTCAGATATAGGATTTTGGTGAGTTATTTAGAATCAAGGTGTACAGAATAACTACTTCAATTTTTGAGATCAAGGTGATGAACAAGCCTCTAATTTTTGCAGCATTTTATGATAATTTGGAAATAGTGTTTTCCAAGATGCTGGCTTGAAAATGTGTGGTATATATATTTTTCAGTGTTATGATAGAATAGAAACTTATGATAGGTATTGGACTTGTTAAAGGCATTTGATGGAATTTTTCTTAATTCGCTTGACAGATTCTAAACCACATTGTTTTTTTATAATTAACAAATTATGATATGGAATTATACATCAGAAAAGTAATAGCATTTTCAGTACAGTAGATAGATAATTCTAATAAGGTAGTTGTAATTCAGCATTATAGTAGAAAGATTGCTTAATTCTTCATCCTGCATAGCAAAATAAAGGAATATGTATTTCTTGAAAATTTTGTTAATAGATTGATCATTATTTATGCTGTATGGTTGATCATTTGTGAACATGATGTCCTGTATGAAAGCAATGATATGTATGATTATCGGTTTATTAATTTTAGCTTGCTAAATGTGCTAATAATGAGAAAAGTTGCCAGTTACTTTTAATGAAAAAAATTGTCCTTGAAATTTCCCACCCATTGAAATATTTAATTGCAATGTACAGTCGTGTCTTTAAATAATCATTTTGATACACTCAAACCATCCATCTGTACATGTACTATTTTTACATATATTATTTCAGTAAAGTAACCTGTCTTTGCAATGAAACATTTGTAAGTCGTAATGTAATATTGTCAGTTATAAGTTTTGTTTAAGTGCATTTTTTATCATTTTGCTTAAAGTTAGATGTTAGAAATATATTTTGATTAAATGTTGTATTAATAAGATTGTATGTTGTAGTTTTAGAAATGTTATTACTTGCACACACAAACGGGTACTTGTGAATAATCAGCCAGTTTCTTCTTGTTTGTTAAGTGTAAGATGATTTTGATTTTTTTTTTTTTTTAATTTTTGATTTAATTAGTGTTCAAACATTTGAAGGTACAGTGGAATTTACTAGGTTACAATGAATGTACCCCGGTAGATAGCTTGTTACATGAGATTTTATTACTCTGTTAAAGTTCACAAAATCTCTACAAAGATGTCTGTTTTATCTTATCAATATAGCGACAAATGCTTAACTTGGATTTGTGAAGCAAAACTGTAATAGAATATCTTGAACATAAACAAGACCTATGGAGAATTCAGTAGAAAAATTGTAAGGTATTCAGATTTTAAGAGTCAGTTAACTGTAATCTATAAATTAGACTAGAACTAGGTATTATAAATCTGTCACAATAACTGAGTTTACTTTGTTGTATGTGATTCATCGTAGGAATATTTAATAGAAGCATCACAAAAAAGGTGGATGATGTCGGCAAAATGTGGAGTTTATTTGGGAGGGATAATGCAGGAGTTGAAATGAATTAAAGCATCTCAAAGTGACTTAAGGTGTCCCAACCATCGCGAGCTGACTGCAAATTATTCATGTTGAACCCGGTGTGTGCAGGCACGTATATTAAAACAAATAAAACAAGAGAGTCGGGATCTCATGACGCCATTTTGTTTTCCGTTGCAGCATTTTGCGATACCCATGGTACCGATTCCAGGACGAATGCGAACCCTCAGTACTGACTCATCACATTTTGAAGAGCCCCAAACGCCTTTGTATATCGAGGAGGGATTTGGCTACACGACTTGAAGAAAATGTTTTAATAGCGGGTTTAATCAGTATCACATACAGCCATTTATTGGAGTATACAGCAATATTATATTTAGTATTTTTTGGGGGGGATACAGTGTAAATATATCATAATTATGGTGAAAGTTACAGTGACCAAACAGTGTTTATACTGAGACTCCATGGAACTGGGATGTACACAGACTGCATCTGTCAATTTTACAACTTTGTTAAAAAAAAGCACAAAAGGGATCCTGAACTGTTTAGAAACCATGAACATTTCAGATGGTTCTTGTTAAAGAGTCGTATTTTAAATGCTGAATATTGTATGCTATTGAATTGGAATTTAAAGACTTTAGGTCCTCGTAATTAACCAGAAAGCTTTTATTCATTTGCCTGTTATGGCATACCCTTTCACTTGTAGTCCATGCTTCAACAGTTTATGCCCATCTCCTACAGTTTTGTGTGTGTATTCTGAAGCAAAAGTAGTATTTTGTTGATGGTGAGCCTAACCCCTATGTGTAGTAGCAAGCTCTGCTGTGAATTTGGTCCGACTTATTAAAGATATGATTTGCAGTTTGGTTATCAGTTTGCTAACTAATCCCCGTTTTTTTTTTTTTTTTTAATTGTGCCTTCCATTTTTCTGACACCTGGGTTTTACATGTAGTTACTAGAAATTATTTGCATATTTCATTAAGAGAACTGTGTTTTTTTTAGTTTCCACCCCACCCCACCCCCCCAAACACACACATACTTATGCTGCTATAGGTAACCATATGTATATAATGTTGTATTTGTAAATTGACAACTGTTCTTCTTCAGGGGATTCATATTTGGTACTGTTATTTACATAATAATATCTGTGAACAGTGATGGATTTGTAATAAGTCATGAGTCTTTTGACCAGATACAATGCCTGTCTCAATATGTCTGGATTTAAATGCTTCTATGAAAATTATGAAGTTAAATTCCAGTTCATACAGACAGCTGAGCTGTTGCCGTGTAAATATGGTAGTAATATTACTTTTTTTTCATTTAAAAAGACTTAACCAGATTGCAGATTATTTTATTACCTAGCATTGTAATAGTCACTTCTTGATAAGTTAAGGTCTTGTCATTCTTGAAGTAACTTTTCATTGATCCCTGTACACATAAAAGTGTAGCTGATATGATCATAAATAAGTTCTTCCCAGTATGTTGGTTTATCTGCAGTGTTTGTGTTGGTTTAGCAGAAGTAATTGTGTTGGTTGAGTAATTGTGCTGTTGGAGCAATGAATGTGTTGATTGAGCACTATTTTGAGCAGCCATGATTGTGTTGGTCGAGTATGATTTTTGAGCAACAATAAATGTGTTGGTTGAGCACGATTTTTGAGCAACAATAATTGTGTTGGTTGAGCATGTTTTTTGAGCTGCAATGATAGTGTTGGTTGAGCAAGCTTTTTGAGCAGCAATGATTGTTCTGGTTGACCTGCAGAGCTGGAGCTGCTTAATTGGGTTGAAGTCAAATGATGTATGTAATTTTGGCTTATAGTTATTATTATGTCAACATTTTTACTGATTTTACTCCAATTTCACTGCACCAGTTGACAATTATCCTAGTAAATAGGAAAAAATGGTTCTACGTTAAGGCAAATGTGTTTATCCGGTGACAGCTTCCTGTAGACTATCAAAAATTATTTGATAAATCATTAAAAAGGAGAACCTATCCTGGAGAGGCAATAAAAATTATGCAGATGAATTTTAAAATGTACTTACAAAGTGATAAATGAGTGCACAAAAATATGGAGAAATATATGCATTCAGGACAAACAGTATTTTAATAAGCTATTTCATTTGCATAGGCTTCAAAATTTCTGTTATTTATTGAAAGTTAGTTTCTAGTCACCCTCAAGTTATCAGCTCAATTTATTGGTGCATAATTAATGTAGGTTTTCTAAATTCAATATTTTGATATAGCGTCTTCATCTTTTAAGTTTGACTATGAAAAAAAATCATTAAAAATGTGCAAGGTTTTAGGTAAAATATTAAAAACATACACAAGTTCAGAGAATGATGCCCCCCCCTCACTAATTTCATTGGGCCTCTCTGATGTTCTTGTTTAAATAATCAAATGAACAAACTTCTTTACATTTGTTTTGTTCCTTGTAAACGTAAAAGAAAGGAAAAGTACATGACATCAGTGGTTAGTAGCATTTTGACAGTTGAGATTTATTCAATGTTTGTTTGCCAATGAAGAGTGACATTGCACTTGTGATTCATTTAGAACACATGTTAGAGTGGTGTAACACTGTCTATTAACCTTGTCTGAGTAGAAATTCTTGGGAGTTATTTTTTTAACACTTTTGTCAATGTTTTTTTTTCTTTTTTTTTCTTTTGCTTGTCTGGTCACTGAGTACCCAATATAGAACTATTCCGTTTTATTGCCCATTCCTTTACAGTCTAAGTTTTTTATTAAAAGTCAAATACAGATTCAGTGCAGAAAAAGTAAAAATTTTAAAACCTCTTACTGGACTGAAAAGTCTGCTCAACGTGAATGTGACTGGATGTTACAATGCTTACAAAGATACTCTGTTTTTCATGCACAGACATTCTTGAAAGAAGGCATATCTGTATTCATGAAATATCGAACTTGTATTATTAACTGGTTATGGACATACCCTTAGTTTATCCTTGATTTGTTCTATTTTTATTACAAGCAGTTTTGTTTGTTTAGCTTGGTGCCATGAGTAAAATTGTTCTCTCAGTTAAAATGATGTGGATTGAATAAAAAATCTATTTACTGTACAACCACCTTGTTTTGTTTTTTCTTTCGTTGAAAAAGACCGAGGATGTTTTAAGATGAAATACAACAATGGCGTTCGGGTTCGACGATTATACCTTTCGTGGACAGTTTAGGGCTCTCAAAGCAAGTTTTAATGCATTCTCGGAATTTCAAACTTGAGTATGTCACGTCTGCAGCCTGCCACGTAATTTCCCGTTGCTTTCGTTTTCAAGGAGTTGATAGTGACGTCACCTTTTCTTAGGTTTGACGTCATAATCCTTTAAGTGCCACAGAATACGTCACACCCGAAAGTGTTTTGTATGCAGCGTGATAATTGTAAATAAAACAGTAATTGCTTATTGATAATAAAGCAATCGTCGTGCCTACAGGCCCAGTATTTCTTCCAGAACGAGCTTGTATTTTATGTTGTTGCTGTATTTTTACTTACAGGTCGTGTCAGTTAAGAGATCGGCGTCGGACGCTCTGGAAACCGCTCCTCCACACGATGAAGAAGTCATCACCTGTTCCTAACACATAGTCCTAAGAAACATCTGAGTGGTTTAAAATCATGAAGTGAAAAAGAGTAAAATAAACTGTAGGAAGCCAGGTTTTTTATGGAATTCAGATTTGGGTCGTGACTTATTTCATATTCTTAGAAGTTGAAGGACAGAATGAAAATAACACGCCAAGTAGGAAAAATTATTTGAAGTAACATTTGATAAATTGCAATAACAATAGTTTTACGGGGAGTTTGTCTTGTCTTACGCACAGTATTTCTCTTGTACATATAATTGCAATAATAGTAATGTCAAACCCATAAATATATTTTATAAGGTTGTATTTTGCTACGGCACATGGGTGAGAGAATATTTTTAGTGCACGTTTTAACAGAGGGAATGACGGGTATAATTCAATATCTGACTTGTGATTGTGTCTTAAGAAAATAATGTGAGTGAAAATGTATATAGTCATTGAAAAGATGATACTACAAAAAATAAGTCTCGGAATCCAGGATAAAAAATCAATGATATTTATAATTAAGGCTGTGGTTGAATTTTACAATTTTTTAAGTGATCGAATCTCATTGTGGTCGAATAAGATAATAATTGTTTTTATTCATTTCCCAGGCTCTTATTTTGTTTATCCAAATGTTCTTCCTCCACCAAATCGCATGCATATATAAATTTTATGATTTTAATAACTTTTTTTATGTATAGAAATTGTTTTCTGTGTTGCTAAGGCGATTTTTACGACATTTCTGTTGCGTGGATTTCTAGATTTATACTACTGTATTTGGGTTTGCTTTGGGTTTTTGAGGCAATATAAGAAGCCATTTGTGATATTTTAATGACACAATGCTTTTCTTTTGCTCTGAAGTTATAACGGAATAGGTTGTATATTTAGATCATTTTGATTTGGCTATCAGAGGAAACAATTGGCATCTTTGTTTTATTTTTAAGAGAACGAACAAAAGTTAAATGTAAAATACGGGTCTCGCCAGAATTCATTTTAAATATTTATAAATTGAAAAAAGTTGCTTAATCAGTAATGTATTCTAGATTCAATTGCAGTGTCTGTGACAATTCTGGCTTGTTTGTACCTTTTGGTTCATTCAAAAAATTTTTAAAGGGGGGGGGGAGTAAATTGCGAAGCGAAATGTCCAGTTGTTAAGGAAATTTAGTTTGTTCCGGTTGATGAATTCTTAGACCAGTGAATACTGTCTTTTGATTTTAAATGAATTGGATCTGCTGAATTATTGTAAGAATCATTGGTTGTAAATCTTATTTTCATATTTAAATATCTATTGTAGATTTGATCTCAGGCAAGAAGAGTTTTATTGTGTGATTATTTCTGGTAGTAGATTTTAGAACTTGACGCCTTGCACCAAATTTTAATTTATTATTGACAGAAATAAAGGGTTGAAGGTCAATTTTAAACAGATATTTCGCCACCAGTTGTTTTGATGCACATCCAATTTCCAACCATTTGCTTTAATTAGTGTACTTTTGTCCTTGTTACGCGCGCGTACGCGTGGTTTGCTTAACACAAACATTTTTTGAAAATCTGACTGTTACGAAAAGTGTGCATTTTGAAGAACTTGTTAGTCTGAAATAAGCATAATGCTGATTGAAAAAAAAAAAAAAAAAAAAAAACAGCAGGAATTGAAAACTCTGGGAAGTTCGTTCCGATAACGGTTCCTTGGCAACAGCTTTCCCACTTTCTCATTAATATCCTATATTCTTATATTGGTGTGTATTACCAAAAATTATTTGCTAGTTTGATTTTGAACAAGGAATTTTTGTTACACGAAGAAGTTATTGATTCGCTGAGGCTACACAGAATAAAATTTCAAATTCCTTTTGAGCTAAGACGACTTAGTAAGCTCCATTAGTGTCGAACCCCTTTCCGCATCCACTCTCCCCCCCTCCTTTAATGAAAAAAAAAAAGAAAGAAAGAAACGATTGTTAAGCGCCACGAGTGAGACAAGTATCGAGTAGAATTAAATTGTTGTTACCTGTTTAGCCATTCCCACTTGAAAAAGGGAAAACAGCTGTTGTTTTGCTGATATATATTCACTGGAAGGTGGTGGATTCAGATACAGTAATTTCCTGTCATCTCTTCAATTCATGATGTGTGTAGCTGTTAATATTAGTGTTTGTGTTACTTATAGTGGTAAATAGTGCTAGATAGGCTGCTAACATGCATCGTAACTGTAATTAGAAAATTCATATGAAAAAGGTTCACCTTCGGTTAAGATCATTTCACAAAAGAGTGACGCACACAGTTAATGTAATGGAATTTTTTTACTGTGTTATACAATAATACAATCCAATATAAAAAGATGTCAACAGTACTGAAAATGTGATGTAAAACAGTTATGCAAATATAGTCTAAAATGTGTGCGTCACTGGCGTGGCTCCAATTTTTTTACATTAAACCTTTTTGTTTAATCACCCTTGATATTATTATTAAATTGGCGCAAATTACTTCTCTGCTGTTACACTTAACATGCCTCTTGTTTATATTCAAAACCCAAGCTGGTGGTACGCATCCAGGAGGCGGATGCGCCTCTCTGATCGTCTTGTGTCATTTACTTTTTCCTTAAAATATCCATCAGTCGAGGTTTGCAGAGTGGTTTCGTGTTTTTTTTTTTTTTTTTTTTTTGACATCGTTATGGCGGCCTATCGTGCAGCACCTGCAGTAGGTGGAGATTTGCTGAATAAAACATGGCGTCTCCACATTTTGATATTAAGCGAAATAGATGATATTTTATTTAGAACGTCGTAAACTGATTATTGTACACGAGACCTGCTTTGGATGCCAACTTTGAAGGTGTGGTTTTAGTGTGATTATCCGCACGGCACAGTCGGCCTTCTTTGGGAAATTTAAGCATATGCAGATATCATCAATAATAACCGAGCTCACAACGGAGGATTTGTGTTCGAAATAGTAACAAAGGTAAGTAAAGATTTTGAAACAACGGATAATAATAAAAGCGTCTGCGCGTTCCTGTTTACGTAACGATGTTCCAGGTCGAATTTTGGAAATGGTCATGGATGTCATCTGATGAAGTCTTTCATCGTTTCGTATACAGCGTGTTCTCTAAGATATTATTGCCATAAAAACCCATTGGCAGTGGCATCACGAACTGTATACATTTCATTATCAAATATTGATCAGCGACATGTTTTGTTCCAAGCTATGTTGATAGCGGACGCTTCTCGATTGTCCGACGGTTTATGAACCAAAAGACTACTGGTCAATTAAAAAAAAATCCGGACAGTTTAATCGCAGTCCGAGCACAGTAACGGTCTCTGCTTCGTGTTGTTATGATATTGCCTTCAGAGAAGGTTTTTAAACCCAATGGGCCATTGGTTATGGTCCCAATTTCAGACAAATGAACCACCCGCGTAAAGAATCTTCGGACCATTGGGTTATCTAGCAGACAAGAGCCATTTCTGAAAATTCCACAAACTGGGATTTTAAAATCTAGGCAATATAGATGTGCCGAGACGAGGAATATAGTATTAAAGTACATAAATAAATAAATAATGTTGATAGTAATAATAATTGGATATAAATAAATAAACAGTAAAAAGAGAAAAATATAACAAAATGTAATTTTATTGAACTTTACTCCATAAAGTACTCCTATCCCATTACCTATTAAGTTTATGTTTGGTGATTGCAATTACTGGAACTTTTATACGTGTAGGCCTACATGTGCTCTCCACTTCAGCTCTTATTTCTGTGATCTGAGGTGGATTTTATATAATATAATCTGGCAACGGTTGGTCTCCGCATGTTTACGTAGGTCAACACCTGTATCCAACACGAAGACATCAAAATTGTAATGACTGGTAATATCGTGTTACTCTGCATTAAAAATTCATCGAGCGTCATACTTTCGTGTCATACTTAACGCACTTCATAACTATATTAGATGTGCGCTCTTAATGTATAAATCGATGTTATTGGAGGAGAACTTAAAAATTTTTCTGGTCTGTCAAATTTGTTTTCAAAACTTTACGTGGCATAAGGCAGCTCACACTAACTCCAATGTGGTTGAGCTTCTTGGCTTGGCACTCTATTGAAGAGCACATTCACCAGTGAAAAGGACAAACATTCAAAAAGGTGTGGAGTAGGTATATTTTTAAAAAGTTCTACAAATATATTGTTCATTATACAATATACATACGCAGGTAATATTCATGGAATATATGGATAGCAAATGATTATTTCATACTTCACGAGTATCGTACGACCTTATTGTATCGTGCCATATGTATGAATATTCATATATATATATGTATATGTTACTACAGTCACAATATCGTGGCTTCAGGAGGGAGTCAAGTTATATATTAAAGGCTGTCTGGAACGTGGTAGCCTGGGTTTTGAAGAAGAGACGCGAGATAGCGGCTTCATTTTCACTACTTTATAGAAGCTTGTTTAGGAAGTGCCACAGGTAATGTAATTTGGAAACGAAGAAGCTGACACGTATCTGATCTGGTGCTCAGGGCAGAACGAATGAAATCCTTCCGATTGTGTTGGAAGGCATGCAGGATTGAGCATATTCGACACACGAAATCTCCATTCATGCATTCATGTTTGCTAATCTAAGCATCGCGCTTGACAATATCAAATAAAAGCACAAAACAAAAGCTGGAGTTTAGACAGCTGCTAATGGCCCATTGGGTTAAAGAACCGACTCTGAAGGTCATATTGCCATAACAATGCTGGAACGTCGCAACGGATATCCGGCCACCGCCCCCTTAAACTGGGACCCGAAGATGCATATACGTTCCCTAAGAAGTAATTGGTTTAATTTCAATTAATAAGTTACATAAAAGCATATTCGGGCCTTAGTATTTAACCTCCTCTTCATCGAAATGTGCCGACCATTTTATTCAACAAAGAGTTCTATAGAAATAATATAATACAAATATCCGTTTTCAGATATCAAAGCTTCCTGATCTACCAACCCACCAACACCAATGGTATCTATGTTGCGATTCTACAAAGTACAGTTAAGGAACATCTTGCGATGCCAGAACACTTGTCTGCTGCTAGGGTGGTGTGTTGTTGTGATATTGGGGCTGGTAATAGGACCATTTATAATTGGAAACAGCGAGACAAAACTCGAAGAAAGGGCCCTTTTTGAAACTGGACGTGGAGTTGAACCGGCAGATCAGACAGACTTGTGCGCAAATGGAAAATGTTCGGGTGATATGTTGGACAATGAAACTGTGTTGAAAATGTTAAATGCCGCAAGGCAGCCATTAGAGACACGCTTGGGTTATCCAACTCAACTGATTCAAACAAATAACTTGCCTGCAGGACCGGTTAAAGCAATCCCAGCTGAACCGGTGAAGTTGCAGCTCCCAAATGATAATTATGAGCATCTTATTGAACCCATGAAGAGAGTATTTTGTTCAACTTTGTACCAAAACTCGGGAATTCGGACTAACGAAGCTGTAGTACCGGATCGTCCAAACGGCGAGAAACTTGTCCTAGTGTGGAACTTTAAATGTTGGCACAATATGAACGACCTAGACGTACCAGTGACATTCACACAGTGCCCCGTCAAAAACTGCATAGTGACGGAAGACAAACGGCTGTCAGGTGCCAGTGACGCCATCGTTTTCAATTCTGCCGCCATCATCCGTTTCCTTAGCAACAACAAAAAGTCTGCCCAATACCTTCAAAGCACCCTGCCAAGTCTTANATTTGTGAACACTACACGGTCGAATTTTGGAAATGGTCATGGATGTCATCTGATGAAGTCTTTCATCGTTTCGTATACAGCGTGTTCTCTAAGATATTATTGCCATAAAAACCCATTGGCAGTGGCATCACGAACTGTATACATTTCATTATCAAATATTGATCAGCGACATGTTTTGTTCCAAGCTATGTTGATAGCGGACGCTTCTCGATTGTCCGACGGTTTATGAACCAAAAGACTACTGGTCAAATAAAAAAAATCCAGACAGTTTAATCGCAGTCCGAGCACAGTATCGGTCTCTGCTTCGTGTTGTTATGATATTACCTTCAGAGAAGGTTCTTAAACCCAATGGGCCATTGGTTATGGTCCCAATTTCAGACAAATGAACCACCCGCGTAAAGAATCTTCGGACCATTGGGTTATCTAGCAGACAAGAGCCATTTCTGAAAATTCCACAAACTGGGATTTTAAAATCTAGGCAATATAGATGTGCCGAGACGAGGGTTATAGTGTTAAAGTACATAAATAAATAAATAAGTAGCCAATGTTGATAGTAATAATAATTGGATATAAATAAATAAACAGTAAAAAGAGAAAAATATAACAAAATGTAATTTTATTGAACTTTACTCCATAAAGTACTCCTATCCCAAGTTCCCAAATTTATGTTTGGTGATTGCAATTCCTGGAACTTTTATACGTGTAGACCTACATGTGTTCTCCACTTCAGCTCTTATTTCTGTGATCTGAGGCGGATTTTATATAATATAATCTGGCAACGGTTGGTCTCCACATGTTTACGTAGGTCAACACCTGTATCCAACACGAAGACATCAAAATTGTAATGACTGGTAATATCGTGTTACTCTGCATTAAAAATTCATCGAGCGTCATACTTTCGTGTCATACTTAACGCACTTCATAACTATATTAGATGTGCGCTCTTAATGTATAAATCGATGTTATTGGAGGAGAACTTAAAAATTTTTCTGGTCTGTCAAATTTGTTCTCAAAACTTTACATGGAGACGTAATAAGGTGGCATAAGGCAGCTCACACTAACTCCAATGTGGTTGAGCTTCTTGGCTTGGCACTCTATTGAAGAGCACATTCACCAGTGAAAAGGACAAACATTCAAAAAGGTGTGGAGTAGGTATATTTTTAAAGAGTCCTACAAATATATTGTTCATTATACAATATACATACGCAGGTAATATTCATGGAATATATGGATAGCAAATGATTATTTCATACTTCACGAGTATCGTACGACCTTATTGTATCGTGCCATATGTATGAATATTCATATATATATATATGTATATGTTACTACAGTCACAATATCGTGGCTTCAGGAGAGAGTCAAGTTATATATTAAAGGCTGTCTGGAACGTGGTAGCCTGGGTTTTGAAGAAGAGACGCGAGACAGCGGCTTCATTTTCACTACTTTATAGAAGCTTGTTTAGGAAGTGCCACAGGTAATGTAATTTGGAAACGAAGAAGCTGACACGTATCTGATCTGGTGCTCAGGGCAGAACGAATGAAATCCTTCCGATTGTGTTGGAAGGCATGCAGGATTGAGCATATTCGACACACGAAATCTCCATTCATGCATATATGTTTGCTAATCTAAGCATCGCGCTTGACATTATCAAATAAAAGCACAAAACAAAAGCTGGAGTTTAGACAGCTGCTAATGGCCCATTGGGTTAAAGAACCGACTCTGAAGGTCATATTGCCATAACAATGCTGTCTCCAGAACGTCGCAACGGATATCCGGCCACCGCCCCCTTAAACTGGGACCCGAAGATGCATATTCGTTCCCTAAGAAGTAATTGGTTTAATTTCAATTAATAAGTTACATAAAAGCATATTTGGGCCTTAGTATTTTACCTCCTCTTCATCGAAATGTGCCGACCATTTTATTCAACAAAGAGTTCTATAGAAATAATATAATACAAATATCCGTTTTCAGATATCAAAGCTTCCTGATCTACCAACCCACCAACACCAATGGTATCTATGTTGCGATTCTACAAAGTACAGTTAAGGAACATCTTGCGATGCCAGAACACTTGTCTGCTGCTAGGGTGGTGTGTTGTTGTGATATTGGGGCTGGTAATAGGACCATTTATAATTGGAAACAGCGAGACAAAACTCGAAGAAAGGACCCTTTTTGAAACTGGACGTGGAGTTGAACCGGCAGATCAGACAGACTTGTGCGCAAATGGAAAATGTTCGGGTGATATGTTGGACAATGAAACTGTGTTGAAAATGTTAAATGCTGCAAGGCAGCCATTAGAGACACGCTTGGGTTATCCAACTCAACCGATCCAAACAAATAACTTGCCTGCAGGACCGGTTAAAGCAATCCCAGCTGAACCGGTGAAGTTGCAGCTCCCAAAAGATAATTATGAGCATCTTATTGAACCCATGAAGAGAGTATTTTGTTCAACTTTGTACCAAAACTCGGGAATTCGGACTAACGAAGCTGCAGTACCGGATCGTCCAAACGGCGAGAAACTTGTCCTAGTGTGGAACTTTAAATGTTGGCACAATATGAACGACCTAGACGTACCAGTGACATTCACACAGTGCCCCGTTAAAAACTGCATAGTGACGGAAGACAAACGGCTGTCAGGTGCCAGTGACGCCATCATTTTCAATTCTGCCGCCATCATCCGTTTCCTTAGCAACAACAAAAAGTCTGCCCAATACCTTCAAAGCACCCTGCCAAGTCTGACGCAGAGACCCCCGGGACAGAGATGGGTTTTTCACAATCGTGAGTCCCCATGCCAAACGTATTTCCCCTCCACAGAATACGGCAAACAATTCCTGGGGTCTTTCAACTGGACCATGACGTACCGCGTGGACTCAGATATTTACAACCCTTACGGTTTGATTATCAAAGCGACGGAGGATGCCGCCAGGCGGGATTACATTGCCATAGCAAAATCGAAACCGAAACAAGTGGCTTGGGTCGTAAGTCACTGCAACACGGCAAGCAAACGTGAACACTACGTTACAGAGTTATCCAAATATATCAGCGTTGACATCTACGGCGCATGCGGCGAGCCTTGTCCGCCAAAAGATTCTCCTAGTAGGTCATGCTTCGAATTTATCAATGCCACATATAAATTTTATTTGGCCTTTGAGAACAGTTTTTCTACCGATTACGTCACCGAAAAATTTTACCAGAATGCAGGGTATGACTTAGTGATTATTAACAGAGGTGCAGCAAATTACACCCGTCTTGGTATCAAACCCGAGTGGCACATTAACACTGCGGATTTCCCCTCTCCAAAGGCTTTAGCTGATTATCTGTTGATGTTGGACAGCGATGTGGAAAAATACGCATCCTACCTGAGTTGGAAAGCTTACCAAACGTCTGTCGTTACACTACAACCGATCAACTGGTGCGACATGTGCCGGAAACTGAACGATCCGACCGAACCAGTGAGGTCGTATTCCTTTACGGAAATTGCCGAGTGGTTCTACGGTTCTTCAGAAAAGATTGTAGACTGCAAAGATGCCAGCATGAATGATTTCATGAGCACATAATGTCTCATCTCACATATTTTTAAGTTACGTCAAATATATAAGATACCCATTTTCTTTTAAATACTCTGTAGGAATACTGAAGAAGGACAAAACACCAATCACCAATCTTTTCTCCTTTTTTGGAAGGTAGGGAAGACAGAATTTATTTTTGAACAAGTCCCACCCCCTTAGATATGCCACTGATCTTTGAACAGGATTGTTTGCGATTTGCGGATCATATAAAACTGAGGGTTTGATGGCATATTTTGAACTGCCATAAGAACTATCTCCTAGACATGAAGTTTATTTTCTGAGACATGCCGTTTTGGCGAGGAAAGGAATTGTGGAAAGCCAAGCCTCTGTTTATTTATTTATTTATTTATTAGTAATATCTAAGCTTATAGACATATAATTTAATAAATAACAAAAATGCTTGTTCCGTCCTCTTCTACATGTATATCTCGCATATCAGTGTCTTACGTGGGCCCCTATGTAAATCACTGTAATGGCGATAAGCTATAATTACTTGGTAATGCTTTTGTCAAAGGCAATTTACACGTATTGATGTTTAATTATGAAACGTCTGTGTCGTACACATATGAAATCTGATGTGAAACTTTCTAAATATGGATCAAATTATTTATAAGGTAAATGGATACCATATTATTACAACTCTGAATTTCAAACCAATAGATAAGCTGATAGCACAGTACATATAGTCGATAATGGCCGATATTGGCGCAGGGCTTCAAAAATTTTACCTTCATCCCTCCCCCCTCCCAACGTCGTTTTACACTCAGCAATCTTGTCTTTGCATTTGTATATTTTCAGAATCCGTTTTTCTATCATTATAATAACTATCACAACTTTTATCCATTTAATCTATTAAATTGTAATTCTAGGATTGCAAAGAAGAGGGTATGTACTATTGTTTTGGAAGGCATGTTCCTTGGCCGTACTTGTAAGTCAGACGAATTTGAGATGCCAAGTGGTATTTTAGTTATACTTTCTCTCAAACGATGGCGCCACTATCCGAAAGCATTTATATTCGCTATTATATCTGTCTGTATCTGTGTCTCGCTATCAGACTCTCGGTGCGTGCGTCTGATGATGAGCGTTTTGTCAAATCTCATTTGTGAAGTGGTATATTGAGGATAATTTGATTTGATACATTAAGTTAATCATTTACTTGATCACAATACTACAAACAATAGGTAATTTATGTATATGACAGAATCACCCTTATAGCAATATGAAAATGCATGTTATCAGTGTTTTATAAAATGAAAAACTCCTTATATCAGTTTGATTAGATCTAAGACAAGAGCAACATACCATTTTGAGTGAATTAGATATATAAATATATATATTTGTCTATGGAGTTTGTAAATTTCAGATTCTGGGCACATGATTGATTTTGTCTTTCGTTTTGATTCGGATACAAATGTAGCACGATTCTTCGATAACACATGCTTACGAGTGCGATTTCATTTGTGTCCAGCCCTGTAAAGAATAAAAAAGGCTGAATCCTAGTTGCGGGTGATCTCTCCCAGAAAGAGAGGAAGGGGTCGGGTTGAAGAGTTTTCGTTCTTGAAGCCCAGTGACCGTTTTGCGTACACTGGGCATTATAAGTACCACATCATATTCTACTGGACATATTAAGTACCATATCGTACTGGACATTACTAGAGCCATCTCGGACTGGACATTATGAGTACTTAATATGATATCATAGGTGTACTTAGCATTATAAATACCACATTATATAGGTTATCTCTAGGTGCATGGCCCACTTTGCCAGGGACATGCAATGATAATGGTATGACAATTAATAAACAGATTATCATTACTTGGCACTGGTACTGTAGCATGCACGTGAGACGGTTAATGATAATATCCACAATGTCGTAATTCTAGTGTAATGGCTGGTCCAGTAAGAAGGCCATGGGCTACTCCCCCTCCCTTCACACACACTTATATACACACACTCACACACACACACACGCTTTGGCTGTTCCCCTACTCCCTCCCCGTCAAACATTTAAAAAAATTAAACGAAACGAAAACAATCAATTTTCTATCCTTGTGCAATACTGTACAAATAACAGCAAAATTGCCTTCTTCTATTTTATATTGATTTGTTTGCTCTCTTAGCAAAATCTAGTTTAAAATATTATGGAGATGTTAAAACTCAGTATCATGCTTTTTAATAGGGATCTGGGACCCACCAAACTACATGTATGTCCTTGACCCTTCTAGATGTAAACCTTTGTGTAATCTAATTACAGTACTTAGAATGAAGAATTCTGCCCAAAACTTGATTAATTTGCAGACAAATTCAACATTGTGGTAATGTAAACGATGCTGCATATTTCTATGAAATGGAAAGAGGAAAGGATAATTTCCTCCAACCCCCCCCCCCTCCAACCCCCACCCTTACTGTCCAATTTGGACCTGGCACCGATTTCACAAGAGAATGATTGCTTAAACCATCATCTAGCTGCTTTCTATTATCATTTGACACCTCAAAACATTGTAAAAACAAACTGATGGGCGTATGATGTGTGTGTGCGTGTGCGAGAGAGAGAGAGAGTGAGAGAGAGAGAGGGTAGGCTACAACTACACTGGTAACTCATATCACTTATTATTAATCATGCAAAATGTCAAGAAGAAATAACTTGAATAAAAAGTTCATACGATCCAAATTATATGAAAAAAAGTCTATACCCATCTATTCATCTCCACAAACATTACATAATAATAAAGTCTTTAAAGTATTTGTTCTTCATTGTATAATCATTTGTTTCGCTGTACAAACTTACGGTCAAAGCAATTAATAAAAATTGTGCTTATACAAAATGAATGAATATATTAAATTAAAGTGAGAGATCACTTTTAATCTAAATTACTAATGCGACCTGCACATGATTACTTTTAAGTACTCCATGAAACTAGCACGTGTATGTAAAATGATATATCACTTGGCAACCTTTGCCTCTACTATACCGAATTACATTGTTTTGATAAGAGTGAGTGACTCAAATAGTGAGTTATCAATAGCTTTGTTCGTGTTTGGCTTTTAACCTACTAAAAATATCGTAAATTTGATCACATATCTTTGAATTTTGATCTCCTCAAAATTTCCATTTTGAGTATTGGCTGTCCTTTAACTGCTAAAACATAGGTTTTAAAATATTAATTTTTAAATAAAATTACTAGACCATGTAAAAATAATAATCACCATAATATCAATTACATACATATTGCACCACGCCTCTCTTTTTTTTTTCTTATAACTTAACAGTTTTGTATTCTAAATGAATTTCACACGTAAGGACTAAGCATTATTGAAATTAAGGATTCATTTTAGCGTCACCAGACTCACCACCCTTACTATCAGATTAGACTATTTCATCACCTATTCAAGGCTGTGCCAGAAATTTTGACATATTTTCTTAGCACTTGGAGATGAGTATTGCTAGCGAAAAAAACAAATGAGAAGGAAAAGGCAAGAAGCCCGTTATTTTTCAATAGAGTTCCGATCTGATGAGCTATTATTAACGGTAACATCAAACTTGATACGGTAATTAACCACATGTTTCAAACACCTCACTAATTCTGAAATTTTATATTCTCAAACAAAAATGGCATTGATCGTAAAAAGTCTTGAAACCAAATTGCTTTTGTAACTTCTGAACAACATATTTTGTTATATTACAAACAAAACATTGCTTTTCAGTCATTAATTACCGCAATTGATGTATTTGCCTTCTTCGTTTCTCAATCCAAGTGCTATTAAGATTAGTCCGTTTTGAGGGAACCGTTGGTTTCCTTCGTTGTCTCCGTGTCCTCAAAATTCCAGTCTCTGTGGTTCACCAACTGAACCGTCTTCTTATAAGTCCAGTAAGGAGTCATGATGAAGAAGATCAAAGTTAATTGCACGTAAAGGGCTGTGAAAATCGGCGTGGGCATCGCTTGCCAAATCCGTTCCCAGTTCCGGTACGACTGAAGCCACAGGTAGCACTCCAGCAGGGAGCGACAGTGGAAGGTATGGACAAGAACAAACTGGTTCAACTTCCACAGGAGGGTATCAGACAGTCCACACTTGAGCAGCGTCCAACAGAGAGCGGAAAAGGGGGTCGACATTTCGAGGAGGAGGCCCACGGTGCCGAAGAAATGGGAGCTGCGGTACACCATCACGAGGACGTATCCTAGCAACGCCAGCCAGTGGTGCAAGTTTAACAGCGGGTTTGCTTGCCGGAAGATGACGTCACTGACAAACATGGCCGAGCATTCGAAGAGAAAAAAACCAACGCAGAGACAAAGAGAAAACCACGAAGTAGGGGTGGTGGCGAAGACGACGTCTTCTTTGAGTTCGGTGTCCCACCAAACTGCCCAGACGCCGGCACACGTGGAATACACGCCAAATACGGCTCGTACCACGGATAAGTTCCAAAATACCTTTTCTTTAATGCGCAAGTTGCGGTAGGTCCAGGTCATAGATGCGATGAAAGCTGAAGCGAGGTAGACCACGAAAAAGAACAGGAAAGAGGAGCCGATAATTTCCAGTTGTACCCTTGGGGAAGTGTAATCCAAAGTCTCTAAAGTGGGGTGAATATATTCAACCAACCCCATGATGGACGGATCTGAAATATTGATCGCATATTAATCTTTGAAAATAATTGTTATATCAAAAATGGACTGCTATTGGTAAATTTTGTTTTAAATCAAGCTCTCAAAAGAATTCACTGTAGATGTGTTGTTAAGTTAATGGCTTACACTTTCACAAAATAAAGAGGAAAATGAGGTTTAGTTAAAGAAGTAGTCTATACGCTTTTAACCAACAGCATTGGTTTTCAAAAGAATGTTTCTATGGATTCTCATTACCATTTGCGTTGTGTCAGCTTCAGCACACTCAACGATGTTGTGTTAAGACCATTTTTTCTGATAAATTGTATAATGTAGAACTCTACTTTCAATGATTTTTGCAACCTTGCCTACAAATGACGTAATTCAAGTAAGACGGGTGGCATAGTACAAGTAATTTAAGAGATTCATGTTGTCAAGGCAGATGCTATTCTAACAGATGGAATGTTTTCTACAGTTTATTCATTGCCAGTGAGTTTCATTCGGGTTATCGGGTATTTTATTTGTGATGATAATTGATATATACTGTATACATATATTATTTATACTACAATCAACAAAGAGAACTAAAATTTCAGATAAATATAAGTTGATATTTTGTGGAATGTTTGACTCTCTAGACGTGCAGATGGACTTCTTAAATATGATTGGTTCTGCTCATTATCTGATGATATCAGAAGATTGTAGTATACATGATGCGTCAAATACCATTTTGTATGGGTAAATGTATTATTCAAGCTGTATGTTATGCATATACGGCGTCATTGAACTGAATTGCTTATTTTTTAGTAATTGTCTCATTACTGACGCACTTAGCTGTTACTGTTAAGTATTATGAGTTATTAAAGCAAGATGGTTGAGATATGACGTATACTCGATTTTTGTCGACTTAAGTTCGAAATGATAAGGTATGGAAGTAGTTACGGCGCAATGTCATATATATACAAATAGATTTAGCATTGATGCATGGAGCATAAATTTATGCAATTTATCTCTTAGGACATTGAGATGACAGATAATTTTTAATTTCCCTATGAGTCAACAAGTGTAGAAATTGTTTTTATGTTAGAAAACGATGTTACATGTCAATGTCATATCGTTTTATTTGATCTGTTAATTTCACACCAAAAAATTGTAAGTTTCTACCTCGTGCATAACACATGTCACTTAAAATTTTCCCAATTGGGAAATATTGATTAGTGGAATGATACATCAGAATGGGAAATTCTAGTAAACACGCACGAAGACAAGGTATCGAAAACAAAGAATGCGTGATCGGTACAGAAGAATAGAGTAAAGGTTCTCTTGAATTTGAATGAAAGACCAGTCGGTAATGGCACTTTGAAGTAATAATTATATACAGGGGTAATTAAAGGCGTTCCATCAGGGACTTTCCATTAAACTGATTTTATCTTCCTCACGAATCTTTGTTTCATCCGTCAATGCACTTCAATTCGATGCCATTTCAAAACAAATTTTTAGCTTCATTGAAAACGTGACGTTTCGACCGCCTTGTCTTCCCCGTCTGCCTGTAGGCTACATATCAGAAGAAATTCGCTATCTAACATTTTAATTTGCGGGATGCTATCGTTTTTAAGGTCTAAATTGGGGAAGGTACAGTAAGGAGTTTTTTCTGGAGATGTATTTTAATAAACATTAAAATATTAAAATAAACATAGAATATATGACTCTTTGACAGTTTCAAACGCGAATAGTGTACCTTTAAACTTATAACCCACTGCGTCTCATTTGTTCAAGGGCGAAGACTATGTAGATTAGATGTAGATATATTCCGTCATTGTTCCATGTACTATAAACTGTGGTGGTGAGTGAATTGAAGGAAGAGCCCTGATACTAGGGAAATTTATAAGAGGCGTTTTGAAACTTGTGTTTTGGTCCACGACTGTTGCATTTTGACTCTATTCGAATGATACCACTGCTAAAATTAATACGGTCTTGACTGTCCGCACGGATCGGGGATTATCTCTCTCATACTTTAATTTCCACTGGCCTATGCATTATAATTTTGAATAAAATATAATTTATTCACAGATGGACATACTAGGGATATGTGAGCACGTCATGCTTTTATGCTACAGGTACATGTACGCTGGTTAAGGGATTGCTTACCAATTCTCCACGTAGACTCTGGCTTCTCTCTCTCTCTCTCTCTCTCTCTCTCTCTCTTAAATATCATCAACGCCGATTTAAATAGCACATATGGTAAAATACAGTTGGAATAAACAAGAATTGACGATCGAAAAATAATAAGACTTGCAGGATGTGCAAGGCTGCGAAACCCGTATGGTCTGCACAAGATAATGGTGTTTTGCAGGATATTGTCTATGTGTACTTAAATCCCGTTAAATAAAGTTACAACGACACAAATTAATTTGAACTTACCTGTGTGGTACCCCTTATTAAACTTGTCGAGTTTCTGGACAGGACAAGACACGTAATCTGTCGCTACTCGTATTAACGTGACAGTGTTATACTGGGGGCACCTTAATTAAGTCTCTGTACAGGGTATAAGTACGTCGTATAGTGTCACGAGGACAATATATGGCAGTTGCAATAATGTGTTTGTTGTACTAGAACTTACGAGTCCGTTTATCTTTCGTATAGTGGGTCGAACCGTCAATTTTAAGGAGTTTTAGACTGTTTTGTGCCTGCGTGGCTGTGAATACGTTTAAGACCTGTGTGGTTTTAATGAAATCTGTTCCCATAAGTTCCGATAATCATTCGTATTGGTTAAGAAACATTCTTTTTCGTCGCAGTTAGCCTAAGTTCTAATGTTTAACCAAAGTCTATAAGACTGTGTTTATTAGTTGTTATCCTTCGACAAAGGTCGCCGAGACCCCTTTACACCCTTCCAATGACCTAGTTTATCAGGAGAGCTTCATTATATTAGATAACACAGCATTAAGTGACCTAATTTAGTAAGTGATAGATGCAATACTGGTCGCCGAGATGTAATGAAAAATTACCATATCATTAGATTACGGGTTACAGAGTCTCTCCGGAAGTCGTTCACTATATTTCATTTGTAAAAGTGGCAAAATTATGATGGTGGACGCTTTGCCACCCTATGTGCACAAACGTGTGGGGTGGTGGATTATAAAACAAAAGAGTTTTTGCTCAGCTCTTAAAGTGTTGTATTTTTTCATAGAATACAAAGACTTATGTTTTACAATAAAAGAAACACGTTTGTGAACCTCTTGTGCTGATAATCTTTTACCAATTGATAAGTTTTAATATTGCTCTTTATATTACTATCTTTTTTTCTTCTTTTCGCGTTGCCGTGTTGCCATTTTCTTTAGCCCTTAATATTGTTTATTTAAAATGTATTTTGTTAAAATGTATGTTGTCCCAAGTCTCATGTGTTAACTTTTGTCTGATTTCTATCTGTATATCTTGTTTTCCTATTCACTTTTATTTTGATTTTTTCTATTCCACTTGGCTTTTTTTTCTCATTTCAGCTCCATTTTTCTGTAAGAGCAACTGATTTTGAAACAGTTTTTTTTTTTTACTTCTGGTCGCGATTGATCAGCTGCGCCTTTCTTACAGCGAATGCGGTTGTTGCGAAAACACGTTCGCAATGTGAAGTGGCTCTGTCAGGTTTTCTCCCCTTAGCAAATAGCTCTGAGGATAACTTCGACTTCTTTTTGGATCATGTTTATACATGGGTACACATTTTGCGTTTTATCTCTCCACATAGTCATTTTGGTTTAACAATCGTCATCTTTCAAATAAGCAACTTATTCAAGCATACTTGCAGGGCAGCAATACATGTACAGCAGAAGTCATGGGGGGGGGGGGAATCAAGGAGTTATAACTGTTATAACTCCTCGGGGAAATCACAGTCAAGTAAAGGGGTACTTTTTGACAATACATACACCCCTTTGCGATCTTGATAAAAAGGGGTGATGTAAAATTTAATGATTTGCTTAGCAAGTATTGTACTTCTCAGTTCCAAACGAGAATTTCTTTTCATAAAGAAGATATTCGCAATTTTCCCTTTATAACTAACAAAGGGGCGCCAACCGTTTCCCAGAGGCATACGTAATGTGAGGTAGACCTTTATAAGGCAAAAATAAATAAATAAATAAATAAATAAATAAATAAATAAATAAATAAATAAATAAACACAAGGTAACCAAGGGAAAACCGTATCCAAATACACTGACAAAAAAAGATATTTAAACTTGTACTTCAAGTCAATGTTTCAAATTTTTTGTTTCAGATCGTGATTTTCTCAGCCGTTATAGACAGGTAGGGGCCTATACTTGGTGACTAAGGGCATATTGTTAAAATTTGCAGGAAAAATTGTTTTTGTTACTTTAGGTCTGTAACAATAAAATTCAACGCTATCCTTCTTCTGTAGAGAACCTGCGGCCATGCCACTACTCTTTACGATGACAACTAGGTCACAGCCGTTTATTTTATTTTATTTTATTTTATTTTATTTTATTTTATTTTATTTTATTTATTTATTTGTTATTATTATTATTTTTTGTAACTTACCCCAAGGTTGACTGAGATGGCTGACAGGTAATGCATGACGTGTCTTGTAAAAAATAAGATCATTACGTTGCTAATGTGCTATTTTTATTTTTATTTGCAGTCTATTTATATTCAACGAATACATACAACTAACAACTATTTTTTATTTTACAATTTATTTTTTTTTATTTGACATGGAAAGTCGTTCAGGTAAAAAAATGCATAAAAAATCATTCTTAGACAAATACCAAGTTACCAGTAATGTCTCTTTAATTATAAAATGCTGCTAAAATGATGAGTTGTAAAATGAAGTTGAAAGAAATCGAGCACCTGATTAAGAGGCAGTACAACATTTCAATTAAAACGTTACAGCGCGTGTCTTTATTATACTGATTGCCAACTTTATCAACTACACAGTTCTGCGCAATCAATTTCCATCGGTATCAGCAGCGATATCCTGATAACAAAACCGCTGCGGTGCAATCCTTTTATTTGGAATCAGCATATCAATTGTTTACATTCCGATTTGATAACCTGAACATATTCGAACTTGGAATCTGATAGAAAACAAACAGTAACGTGCTTTTTAGGCAAACGCACACACTCACGCGCGTAATCGCTACATGTATCTCTCTCTCTTAGGGTGCATTCATAGATATTTAGATCGATCCAGAGATTAAGATTTAGATCGACCTAACTGCCTGGGGGTTCACGCTAAATTGCAGTCAGCCGAGCGCGCACCATAGTTAATGATAACCTTACAGCTTTTAATAGGCGGGACAGACGCTTACGCCGGCTAAGCTGACAGTACTAGTGAGACTCCCCACAGTGGATAGATCGATCTAAAATCTATGGGAATGGGGTCTTTAACGATTTGGGGGGGGGGGCGGTTAGGGAGGTCCTGACCCCCTTCGATTTCTGAAAAAAAAAATCACACCAATGGTCCCCTCTTGAAATTAAAATTTTGATTGGCTGAATCATAATTCTAAACCGTATCAAATGGCACCGTTCACCCTCTAAAATACCAATTTCACCGGGCCCCGAACCTCACGCTACTGGAGGGGGAGGATCAACTTCGTATCCCCACCCCCCCCCCCCCC